ATATACTCACTGAGGTTCAGAACTAGGATAAGAATACAATGACATTGTTTTCCCCATAACTTCAATGACTTTAGTTTCCACTTGTCTCATCTCCATTTAAAGTCAACCAAGTTGGTTACCATCTCAACATCTTGCAGCAGTAAAGCCACCCTTGAATTGACTATGTTAAGAATATGTGCACATTTTGGAAACCTCTTAATAAAAGCAAGAGCTATGGACAAAATCCTCATCAATTCTTAGTTCATATAGATGTAGATCAGTGATTCTCAACCTGTGGGTCCCCAGATGTTTTGGCCTTCATCTCCCAGAAATCGTAACAGATGGTAAATTGGCTAGGATTTCTTGGAGCTGTAGGCCAAAACACCTGGGGACCCACAGGTTGAGAACCACTGATGTAAATGAATGATTGAAGAAAAATTGAGTTGCAGGCGTCAGAATTCTTGTTTGAATTCTTCTCTTCCTGCCTACTGAACCCTGGCATGTACAGCTCTGATGTTGTTGTGTGTCGTCCAGTCATTTCCAGCCTTTGGTGACTCTAAATCGAACTCTTCATTGGGTTTTCAGGGGCTGGGGGTGGATTTCCAAGGCTGAGTGGGGATTGGAACCCTAGTTTCAAGCGTTTTAGTCCAATGCTCATAATACTAAATTATTCTGCTACTTTTGTATGCCCTACAATGTAGCCTGCAATAAGATATTTCATCTGAAAACTTCATATGGCTTCAATGCAATCAAGTGCATCTCTAGACTGTTTAATCAATGCAGGGCAAAAGTATGATAGCTGGGACCCCACGAACCCTACGCTAGTTGTGTAACGCACTTCGGAATTAATGAAGGGAAGTCCGCTTGGACTCTTCCCAGCTGCTGGGGCTGCTTTCTTTGAAGAGTGGAAAGTGTGCTGGCAGCCAGGGAAGGTTTTTACAAGGCCCTAGAGTGAACAGAGTGGCAGGAACCAGATTCCCCCACTTCCCCTCTTTCTCTGCTTTCCCCCGCCCAGTTTCCAACAGTGGAGGAGCTGGAGCATCAGGAGCGCAGGACATGTGAGCCATAGACACCCTCCTCCTCCCTCCCTTGCAGCTGCATCTCCCACTTGCTGCACGGTCTCACGCATGTCTTCCCTTCATGAATTCTGCCCCACAGTGTGCAACCAGCGTAGGGTCCCAGCTATCATACTTCTGCCCAATGCAGTTTGACAGTACTTTAGCTTCTATGGCTCAGTGCTGTGGAATCATGGAGCATGTACGAGCTTTATAAAACCTTCTACTTTGGGGTGCTGGTGGTTCACCAAACTACAACTCCTAGAATTCCATAGCATTGAGCCACAATTGTTATCTTTTGTCAAATTGTATTGATTTTACCTTGTATATGCACCTCAAAACCTGGTTTTGCCATTGTTTCTTGGAAAACTCTATCTTGTTTATCTTATACTTTATGTGCTCTGGGATACTTGTCTGTAAATCCTAATTCCCACTAGAACACCTTGTTTTTGTAATGTAAGACTGCAGGTTGCATTAAGGTATTCATTTGATCACATATCCCCCCATGCAAACATTCTTTTCTCATAAAACTCTTGATTTTTACCCACACTCTCCCTTCTTGACAGGGTAGTTTGATCTAAATAAATTGGTATGGAGGAGCTCCACCATCTGTGATATAGCTCCAACCTCATATTTTAAGAACTGAGTGAGAATCTGGCCTTTAAACAATCTTGTGGGTGGAGAAACGTCACAGAGTATCCATTGTGCTCTGGTTGCAGGAACCGGTGGGAACTTTACCATCTTGTATTTATATTTTGGCTCTGCTGAAGTCTGTGTACATTGTGTACCTCAGCCAGAGAGATTAATAATGTGATTAAAAACTAAGTCAGCTTGTTTGCCTTTATTGGCATAGGAGACAAGCAGTTTGACTTGGACTTCCTTGTTAGGTAATGAAGTAGGGTTGCCATCTCATTTTTGTTTCTGGACTTTGGTTTTGACAGCTGTAGGAAATCACCATGTGAATTCTCCTGGCAAAAGGGTGCCCAGTTAATGATCTGGAGACACCTGCCATCCAAAGTACAGCCCAATGATCAGTTGCTTGGATGTAGCACTATAGAAGGACCTTCTTTGCTGTGACGCCATGGGTGTGGAATGCCAGTCTGCAGCATTGTTGGTGTCAATGTGGAATTCTTTTGGTTTGAGGTTATACTTTGACTTCAGGGTGTTAAGAATCTCATTCACTATTAAGCTCTGAAGTTGTGTCACAGTGTGCTTGGTTCTCAAAATGCTTTAAACATTTTAAGCTGTCCTAATTCCTACATTGTCAAAAATGACCTGTTGTCTATAGCCTCCTGAGATCTTTTGATGGACTGTCATGTACATATAGATATTTGTCTATTCATAGACAGACAGACAAGAATAAATATCATCTCTCTTGTTAGTATTAGAACCTAGGGTCACTCCCTAAAAGTGAATCATAAGAAAAATAAGATGGATAAAAGGAAGATGGAATTCAACAACATAAGGCAGAGTTTCTCAAACTGTGTTCCTCCAGATGTTTTGGGCTTCAACTCCCACAATTCCTAACAGTTGTTAAGAGGGATGGAATTTCTGGGAACTGAAGTCCAAAACACCTGGAGGAGCACAGTTTGAGAAACACTACCATAAGGCATAGTGTAGGATGTCAAACTAGATGGTTTACGGAGGATGGATGGATCAGTGGCTATCAGTTATAATTGACTCCCCCACATTTGTTGGTTTAATTTTTGCTGATAGGATTATTTGTGGACTTGATTAAGATAGTTTCTATAGGAATACCTATGTCCTCCAGTGAGACTCTGTAGTTTACTAATGCTAGATGTGTTACAATGTCTTTAGCCTTCTCAGCCAAAGAGTGCGGGTGCTTCACCAACTACAGAGCCCCCGGTGGCGCAGTGGGTTAAAACTCCTGTGCCGGGAGGACTGAATACTGACAGGTTGCAGATTCGAATCTGGGGAGAGGCGGATGAGCTCCCTCTATCAGCTCCAGCTCCTCATGCGGGACATGAGAGAAGCCTCCCACAAGGATGATAAAAAACATCAAATCATCCAGGCATCCCCTGGGCAACGTCCTTGCAGATGGCCAATTCTCTCACACCAGGAGTCACTCCTGACATGACCAACTACAGATCCCAAGATTCCATAGCGTTGGAAGTTACAGTGGTGTCAGATTGCCTCCATTTACAGTGTAAATGCACCCTCGGTTTGTGCATCTGACAGTAGATTCAGTCTACAAAAGCTTATACTACCATTTTACCATTTATACTCACATATAAACCAAGGACAACTTTTTGTGCCTAAATTATGGATTTTCACATGACACATGGATAAGTCGAGGATTGTTCCATGGAGAGAGGAAACCATGAATGTCATTCCATAGAGACAGCTGTCTCTGGCCATTGTTACCATTTCCTCACTCAGACATTTAAAACACCCATAAGTAGTTCTACAATGGAGAAATTACAAGGGGTCAGCACTTCTTTTAGGGTCTTCAAGAATTGATAGAGCTCTGCTTAGAGAAGGGGGTGATTCCTTTTTTTGGGGAAGAGTTAAAGTATAGTACTCACACTGACCCATCAATAAGTCATTCTGTGTTTTAGGTTGGGTTTTTTTGGCTAAAATTTTAGACTTATACATGAGTATATAGGATATTCTTCTCAGTCAGTCAGAGGCTCTACAAGTTCCCATTGTACAAATTGTATGTTCTTAACTCAGAAGTATCTCCTGGCCCAGCCCACCCAATCCTACTTTATTGGTGAGCAGTTGTTGTGAGCCATGGAGCTCTGTTCTCCTATTGATTGGGCATCAGGATTTTCACAATTCCACCCACCCCTTTAGTGATTTCCAGTGCTACAATCAAAAGCAGACTCGCTCTTGCAATTCAAGACATCTGTCACTTGCAGAGACTGCTGCCTAGTAAGGCAAAGTTGGAGCACTTTTATGATCGAGGCAATAGTGCCTAATTGTCAACATGTAGGGATTGTGAATATGAATCTGTTACGGACGTGTTACTTTAGATAACTGTGACAGTGAATTCCCACCAATGTCTCCTATGACTCCGTAACTGTGCCAACCATTCTTAATCTTGAATACACAAAAACAATAATGAGTTATGCTTTGAAATTATAGAATGCCAGCATCCAAGAACAGCTACTTCCCTTTCCCTTCTGGGAATTGTCAGCTCACACATGGCAGATTGCTAGGCTAGGTTGTCTGTCATCCTGTGACATACAATGGAGTCTTGATTCTTGTTCAAACTCTTTCTCTAAAACATCTGTTTGCGCTGAGTCCTCCCACCTCCTTACTTGGGTTATGTTTGATTCTTGAAAAATAAATCTGAGCTGTGTATTTCCTCGAAAAATCCTCTGATGTATAGTCCAGTTACTCAATGTGACTTTCTGAAATTGTTGCATGTTGAGAATCCCTTAGCTGAAATTCAAATTTGCCAGAGGGAGTGGGGGGTGGGAATACAGTATATGCATACATAATGAGATATCTTGGAGGTGGGATCCAAGTCTATCCATGAAATTCATGTATGTTTCATGGACACCTATACATAGCTTGAAGGTACTTCTATACAACATTTTAAATAAGTTTGTACATGAAATAAACTTTAAAGTATACATTGGAAAATCATAAAGCAAAGGTTTTACTATCTCAGTCGCCCCTGTGGACAATTTTGGATTTTGGACCATTTCGGATTATAGAATTCTGGATAAAGGATGCTCAACTTATTTGCACTTATTTGTGATTTCAGAATGTAGTACTTATATTTGATATTCAGAATATACTTGTCTCAAATTTTAGAGATTTTAATATTCTGGCTTAGTATCTAAAATTCTGAATTTAAATCTGAAAATTCAGACTTCATTATGGAGTAGTACGGTAGTTAGAAGTGTTCGATTAGAACTGAAGAGGGATGAAACAGTAATGAAGTTTCTTGATTCATCATGCTGACATCTTTTTTTCTTGGTCTTCTTTCTTCAGTTGCAGATCTGAATCCTTCTGATCTTCTCACAGCAGTTGGACTATTGAGACTCTGAGAGACTTTACTGAGAGTTACCATTCCCTTTCAGGGGTTTCCCCCCCTTCTTGTCCCCTTATTTTCCCCTGCCCCCCATAAAAAACATCCATGGACAGGAAGATCTCCATGGAGCCAAGGGAGAACTCAGGCACTTCCCGGCAAAGGGGGAGTGAGACAGATTTCTTGGGGTCATCCATGGCTTCTTCAAAGGCCCCACCAGCTCCTGGCAGTGGTGGAGAAACCATGATGCCTGCCTCTGGCTCTACAAAAGGTCTTCCTGTGAGTGGTGATCGTATGGAGGCCGAAGAGGAGGACGAGATCTGCTCTGGAAGAGACGTGGATTCCACTTCTAATGCGGACAGCGAGAAATGGGTGGCTGGAGATGGACTCGAGGAACAGGAGTTTTCCATCAAGGAGGCCAACTTCACAGAGGGAAGTCTTAAGCTGAAAATCCAGACGACAAAGAGAGCCAAGAAGCCCCCCAAGAACCTGGAGAACTATATCTGCCCACCTGAGATCAAAATCACCATTAAGCAGTCTGGGGAGCAAAAGCTTTCAAGAGCTGGGAAAAATAGCAAAGCTGCTAAAGAGGAAGACCGAACCCACTCCAAAAAGAAGGTAAGGCCATTCATTTTGAGACTTTTTCTTTCCTTCAAGCTCCTTGTTTGTTTGTTATGGTTGTTGTTGGGCTTTTAAAATTAAAAATAAATGTTCATCTTGTGCAAACATTTTGTGTGAATCCGCTACTTGGCTTGAACCATCTTCCTTAATTTGGCCAAATTTCCATCATTTGGGGGCTGCTGCAAACCAAGCATTTTTTTTGGTTTAGAAACGGAAGACAATCTGGGAAGCTGAAAGGGTTTTGCAATCTAAATGTGTGACAACAGGTGGACAGGATAAACAGATGGAGGTAGAAAGCTGTGGAAGGGGGGGGGGGTACGCGTAACAAGACAACAGGGGGAATGTTATTAGCATAAGAAGTTCTATGGTCCCTGCACACCAGCTGCTATGCCATTGTAGGAGGCTGGGCTGGAGGGTGTTTTAAAGAGCCATTTGAAGGGGAATATAATGGCCTCACTTGTGTTACGCACACAAAGACAGTGCCTTCAAACCGGAAGAGCTCATGCAGTTTAAATGCTTCAGCGTATGACTGCAGACTCGGTTGGTGTGCTTCCCTTTAATGACATCCCTTCCACCAGTTTTCTTTTTCTTCTTCTTTTTGCACCAAAGCAGGTTTTAACAGCAGCGTTGAAAAGAAAAGACAGGTAGAGGGAAGGATTTCCAAATAAAGGGATCACACCATTGCTTAATTAACAACGACTGGTCTTATGTGGATTATGAGACTTTTCTTTATGGCCTGGTCACTCTGCGGGAGACTCAAGTTCCTAATGAATTTGAACTGTCCTCTTTCTTATTTTCAGAGGCATCTAGGTCAGAGAGAGCGAGGAAATTGTAGTAATGTCTTTGACAGCAGGGACTATGTGAATGTTTATATATTACATATTAAGCAAAATTTTTTTAGCTAAGCAAGCATTCTCTTAGGATGAAGTAGGAGTTCTGAGTGCCTTGTGGTCCTTGGTGAGGTCTTGCTCTATGGCAGAGGGATGTTAAGACATAGTATAGTTGGAAAGGACTTTACAAATATGTTAAGAATGAGTCTGCTGTCTCTTTTAAGTGAAGAGGATATCTTTTATGCTCTCTCTGTGCCTCTATATCCATGAATGTCAACTTGGAATATGGAAGCATGGGCAAGAGAAGCAGCAGAGAAGAATGGTTGTCCTTTGCCTGTGGATTAACTTGAGTTTAAAAAGAGAATATATTGATACTTCACTTGGAAAGGTCTGTCTTGTTCTGATGGCCATTAGGAATGAAAACTATATTGATCATGTTCCATTCCAGGTAGTAAAAAATTATTGACAGATGGAAATGTTTCTCAAAAAGAATAACAGTCTGACATAAATTTTGTGCTATTTTTCTTGTAATTCGACATTTTGAAATGTCGCAGAGGAATTTTTCTTTGGAGAAAAATAGTTTTTTGAGCAAAAAACTCTTTTTTTTTGCAAATAATTCTGTTTTTGTTGGGAAAAGGGCATACATTTTTCCTCTGCAAAATAATTCCATTGCAAAGGTTTGGGATGCTCAAACACAGAAGGAATACCACAGAGGAATATTCATTCTCTCCCACAGAAGGAAGAAAGCTATTATAATTGTTTGTCTTTGTAGGTGAGGATGAAATAGTCAAGGATTTACATCCTCATTGGCTAGTTCCACAACTTAAATGGAAACTAAACAAATCCTGAGCACTAGCAACCTTGAAAAGAAACTTGAGAGGCAGAGTGGTAACAACCACAATAATAATAGTAATAGCATAGAGAGCATTTATTTTTCATCCTTTTTCCAACAGTGGGCAGAGTATCAAATATATTAAATCAGTGACAAAGACAATAAAACATAATATTCCAGATACAGTGAGCTTTTGGTATCGGATGCGGTTTGGTTCCAAGGCCCTCGCGAATACCAAAATCCATGCATGCGCAAGCCATGTTATGTACAATAGCATAGTAAAATAGTGTCCCCTATTTAAAATGGCAAAATCAAGATTTCCCTTTTGGATTTTTTAGAAATACAGTTTGACCCCCATATCCAGTACCACAGTTTCATTTATCCATCTCTAAAAACATATGTCCTACCAAGGCATTTTCTAGGGCCTCCAACATGACTCTATAATATCCTGTGGAAGTCCTTTATTTCAAAAGGCTTTACTATTATTGGCAGTTTAACGTATCCATGTGGTGTTTGTGATCATATTCCCATGGATATGGGGTCATATTGTATTTTCAAGCCATGTATTGTGGCACCTGTAGATGTAGAATCTGTGGATGTGGAGGGCCAATTGTATACATAAAATCTCCAGTAACCACTATGCTTTCAGCAGCCTCAGTTACAACTCAGCAATTTAATCAGGAGAATCAAAGAAGAAGGTCTTCAACCCTGAAAACACTGGGTGAGATCCTCCTCTAGCTGGAGATCAAAAGGCAGACTGTTCCATAGACATGGAGCCACATCTTGGAAGGGACACAGCTTTGTCAGAGCTGTTTGCATCGATGGAACAGACAGTAATCTTGCTCCTGTGGATCTTAAATTCCTAGATGGTACATATTGTCCTAGTCAAGCTGCCAGGTCTTGGAGGAGAGTAGGCTACTGATTAGAAAAAGTGAGGATCAGATCAGCATCACAGAGAGGGATGTATGTTTCAGTTGGCACCTTTATACTTCACCCCAGCAGGGATTCCTTGCCTTTAACCATTGCCTGACAGGTAGCAATCTGTCAGGTGTGACCTTTTCGGATGCAGGTGTACCTGTGGCAATCTGTTAACAAAAAAACAAAAGGGCAAGTATAGGGATAGTTTGAGGCTGGATTTTTAACCAAGGCTAGTTGAATAAATCTTGTCTTTCTTTCTGTATAACATTGGCATACAGGCAAATGGGTATACAATCTGTTTCAGAGGTAGATTGCTGCTCTTGGACACTTCTACAAAGGGAAATTAAACCATATGATTTGTCAAGAAAAGGTTGGAGGCAGGGAGAGAGCAGGCCACAAAGACAAATGCAGCCCCAGAGACACACTATGTCCACACCTGATGTTTGTCATGTTGTAGATAGTCTGTAATTATCTATTTTAATTTGATATTTTAAGCACTAGATGGATAGTCATTCATCTGGCATTCTACAATAGTGCATTTTCTGCATTGATGGGAATTGGTCATAATAGCAGATGATTGACCATTCATCCTCTGTTTCAAAATGACTAGATAGCAGACTATCTGCTTTGAGGTCTTTTGAAGTATTGTGACCCAGTTAGAAGGCCAGGCTGAGAGCCAATCAGGATTTCAGGGCAAATGGGAAATGGAAGTCTGAAAAGTGCCAGGTTTCTCTACCCTGGAGATTTTACCATTGCGTACCAAGAAGGCCCAAAATATCCTAAAGTCACCAGATCCAGTTTGATATTGGAAACTCTGTTCTAGTTAATACTTGGATGGGAGATGACAAATATCACATACTGTTGGCTAGACTTCAACTCCCAGAATCCTCCAGCCAGCTTGGGGATTTGGGAACTTTCAGCCCAAATAGAGATGGATTGTCTCTGGACATAGGAGTTCTGTCTTGTGATATTTGTCTATATGTTCATGCTTGTTGAGTCTGTATCTTGTCATTTGCCTAAATAATGGCATATGGAGCTGGAGGGAAGCTATTGGTTTCATTTAAAAACTGTCATTATATGAACTGGCCTAAATATGCTAAAGGCACCAGATCCTGTCTGATCTTGGAAGCTAAGGAGAATCAGCCCTTGTTCGTACTTGGGTGAGAAACCATCAACAAATACCATGTGCTATTGACTATATTTACGAGGAAGGACTGGCAAAACTACCAATGAATCTTCCTCACCTAAGAAAACCTTTTGAAAGTCATGGGTTTATCATACATTGGCAGATGACTTGAGGGCACATGCAAACATACACACAAAAACAGGAGACGCCGTCTTGATTGCCAACCACTTTTAATAATTTTCCTTGGCAAGGCATGAAGAAACCAACCTCTATCCTCCTATTGCTCTTCCACGTGAGAGCAGTTTGCTCTAATTACTCTAATTGCCCCAAAGGTGTTATGTGATCATTGCAAAGCAGGGAGGCGATGCAATGAGAGAGGGCAATCTCTCTGTTTCTCCCAAGGTGTGGTTCCTCATTATGAAAATACCTTGCTGGTGTTGTGCTTCTGTTGCTTAGTTTATTGAAGGTAGTGGTTCCCAACCTTTGGTCCCCCAGGTGTTTTGGATTTTAGCTCCCACAATTCTTCACAGCTGGCTGGGATTTCTGGAAGTTGAAGTCCAAAACACCTAGAACAGTGGTTCTCAACCTAGGGTCCCCAGATGTTGACCTTCAACTCCCAGAATGCTGGCCTTCAACTCCCAGAAATCTTAAGAGCTGGTAAATTGGCTGGGATTTCTGGGAGTTATGGGCCAAAAACATCTGGGGACCCCAGGTTGAGAACCACTGACCCAGAGGATCAAAGGTTGGGAACCACTGATTTAAGGCAACTGTATAGAGATGATTGTTCTGTGTTTTGGCTGCCTCCTCTTTGGAGAGTGAGACGACTTCATACCAGGCAATGGCTGCAGAAAGACGCTGGCATTTCCTACATTAGACAGGTGATGCACATTCATGGATTTGAGGAAGCCTGAACATGTCAACTTGGTTGTCTTTATCCCTGTTTTGGGGAAAACTGGCCAACATCATAGATCTGTCTTCAAAGAGGTGGTTTAAAACTATTTCCTGGGATTCCCTGAGCTGCCTTCTATCTCACTTAGAGAGAAACACTGGATAGATATTCAATCAATCAGTGGTCGGTTTCTTCTCTTTTTTTTTAGCTGGTTGTTGGTGTGGCACATTATGGAGTAGTGCAACGGATGAAAGGAACTAAAATTTGAAATAGTTACTGCCAAAAATTGAAAGGTGGCCAAGAAGAGCTCTCTACAAAAGAGTTCTAGGTATTAGGGCTGGGCAACCACGGAAAAATTTGTTTCTAAACTCGATTCGTTTTTTGGGGTTTTTTGCATTTCGA